GGACAAGTGCCTCCCCCTCCAGGTGCCCCTCTGCCGCGGCCCCCGACGGGGGGGTGGTCGATGCCCGTGGCAGTGGGAGGAAGCAAAGGCCACGGCGCTGGCCAGGCAGGCGAGGCTCTGCCACATGAACGACACGGAGGTACATGGAGTCCTACGTTGGCAACTGGGAGTGGCGAGCGGAGGGTGCTGTAGCTGAATCGCCTGATTCCCGACCAGGGCGCTCTGGTGCTGGCGCATGGACAGCTCGAGGGCAAACTTGTAGTGTGCACCTACAACGGCAACACGTGGAACACGGCCTCCAGTGTCCACGGTTGGATGATGAAGAATGGCATGGCGCCGCACGTGATGCTCATCCAGGAGACGCGCTTCACCTCGCAGGCGGCGGTGGAGCAGGCTCATGGTTGGGCATGCAGAGGAGGCCATCAACTAGCTGCCTCAGGGGTCCTGAGGACTGGAGAGGCCGCCACGGCAGTCTCGTCAGGAGTTGTCATTGTCTCCTCGACGCTGCTGGGCTCGGCGAGATACCTCCAGCCCTGGGATGGGGCCCCACATCGTTTCTTAGCTCGTCGAGTCTCCGTGGGCGAGGGCACAACGATTGCCACGATCTCGGTGTACCTGGAGGACACGATAGGGCTCCGGGGGCCCAACAGGCAGCTGCTGAACGACATCCACGAGTGGTGCGCGCACCTGGACGAGCCCTTCATCATCGGAGGCGACTGGAACATCGAGGCCAGCGAACTGGCAACCTCAGGTTGGCCTGAGCTCATGGGAGGAGCGGCCCTGGCCCCTGGGTTAGCCACATGCAAAGATAACGAGTACGACTATTTCGTCATCTCGAGGGCGCTGGAGGACCTGGTGGACTCCATCGAGTGCCACACGGACACCCCCAGCGGACCGCACCAGGTCGTGTCGCTCGTGCTACGGGGATGCTGGAAGCGGCCCATGATTCAGACGCAGCGCGCGCCGAAAGGCTTCGAGCTGGAGTTCGAGGCCGACGAGGAGGCCAGGACCAAGCGCGACCTGCTAGTGGCCACCCTCCCCTGGCCACCGCCTGGCCCAGGCTTGGAGGGAGTAGTCAAGGGCTGGTTTGATCAAGCCGAGGAGGCACTGCAGACTTCACACGGGATGCCCAGCAGCGAGGCAAAATACTACAAGGGCAGGTCCAAGGGCCTGAGGACGGTTTCGGTTCCTCTGGAGGCCAAGGTGCAGGAGAACCGGTTTGAAAGGGCATCAGCGGTCACCTACCTCTGGCTTTCGCTGCGCCACCTTTCGAAGAGAAGGTGGGACTTGGGACCTATCGGGCCCAACGACCTACCTGGCGGCTACAGGGCCAGGAGAGCGCAGCAGCTTTTGGAGGAGCCAGTCGCTTGAAAGTCAAGTTTCAGGAGCAGTCCATCAAGATGTTCGATGGCGCGGTCTTCTCAAATTTCTGGGACTCCAGTCTGAGTTAGGCTACAAGTTCCTGCTGGTGATGGAGCAGGTGGTGGCCAAGCGCACCAAGGAGGATGCCAAGGCCAGCCGACTTAAGTGGGGCGGCTTCTCGGAGCAAGCCTTCGAACGTCAAGGTTCGCTGGCCCACAAGGTTCTCAAGAAGGCCCATGGAATGCCCAACCCCGTCCTCGAGGCAGGCACGGTGGACCGCGCTCTGGTGGGCCAGCCTGCTCTGGAGAGGGCGCTTGCCGACTGGCCCCCCCTCTGGTCAGACCCGAGTCGGAGCGGCCAGGAGCACCCAGGCCTATGGGCCGTCGGCGAGTGGGTGCTGCCGCCGATCACAGTTGACGACGTCAAGCTCGCGGCGCGCAAGTTCTCCAGGAACGCGGGCCTTGGCTGGGACAATTTCCACCCGCGCTTGCTGCTGGAGGTGGGGGAGGACATCCTGGCCAGACTCCCCAGTTTGCTCAACTCCTGGGAGCGTGCACCATACTGCGGCGAGATGTGGACCGTGATCATGGTCTTCTTGCCGAAACCAGATGGAGGGCAGCGGCCCATTGGCCCCACGCCGCTGCTTGCCAGGATTTGGTCAAGAGTACGCCAGGACTACACAGCCAAATTGGGGAGGTCGCTGGAGCAAACCCCATTTTGGGGAACCTCGGCCTCGAAAGGATGTGACAAGGCGGCCCGGCTCCACATTGTGCTCGTGGCCCATGCCAAGCACGTGCAGGAGGAGGCCGCATCCATCTACATGGACTTGCAGAAGTACTACGAGCATATCGGTCACGCCGAGCTCAAGGTGGCGGCGCGGGCCTGGGGCCTCGACCTGGGGCTCCCCAGGGCTCTCTGCGTCACCTACCTGGCGCCGCGTCGGGCGCGCATAGGCCCCTGCCTCAGCGAGGCCGTGGCGCCCAAGGGCACGGTGGTGGCTGGCTGCTCCTGCGCCACGGCGCTGGCGAAGCTGCTCCTGCTTTCGGCCCTTCGGGCCGCGGCGACAGAGGCGCCCATCGCCAGGCTGCTCAACGTGGTGGACGACGTGTCTGCCCACGTCACAGGGCCCCGCTCGATAGTGGCCCAGCAGCTGGGAGCCACCGAAAAGGCCTTTTGCGACAAGGTGCGAGAGGCCAACCTACCGCTGAACAGGCATAAGACCAAGGCGCTGGCTATAAGCAAGGAGTTGCGCCAGGCGCTGATGCGGCAGCCTGGCTGAGACCTCGGACCCGACGACTTCGTGGACATGCACAGGGACCTCGGCGGAGATGCGATCTCAGGGTCGCACCGCCGCGTCACCACTGCGGCAACAAGAGAGCAGCAGGCTCGAGCTCAGGGCAGGAAGCTCACCAGCCTCTTCCGCCCTGGCCAGGACCGCGCAAGGGTCTACCGAGCAGGCCCCACGGCCAAGGCCACCTGGGGCGCGGCCATCAGGGGCGCCCCGAATGGCAGGCTGCGGCAGCTGCGAGCCGGCGCGGTCAGGGCGCGAGGGCGCCTGCCCCGAGGGGGCCGCCTTGGGGTTGGCCAGCCTGGCCCAGACCAATGGCTGGAAGCGGGACCCGCTGACCGTCCTCACCAGGGCCGCGCTCATGGCCTACGTCGAGGTGATCTGGGCTTCGTCGCTGCCCGAGGCGGCAGCCCGCTCCTGCCTGGCTAGGGGCTTGGAGCTCGCCCAGCAACGGCAGCCTTGGCGGCAGGTCAAGGACCCCATCTGCGCTCTGGTCCTCACCTTGGAGCGCGTCGGCTGGGGCTTCGTGCAAGGTGACCCCTACCTGATCCACGACAGCACGGGAACCGCCTACGACGTCAGGAGGCACTCTCCTGCCTTTTTTTGGCGGCCTGGTGGAGCTGCATTGCCGTGTCGCCATCGGGCTGGAGGAGGTGGCCAGGCAGGGCCCCAGCACGTGGGGCTGGAGCATACCACCCTTCTGGCAACCGATCCTTGATCTCACCAGTCATCGGACGGAGGTTTGGGACCAGCACCACCAACGAGCGCTGCGCAGCCTCATCCAGAACACCCACTGGTGCCAGGCGAGGGTCGCGTCGGCAGGCAGCTCGCGAGCGGTGCCGTCCAACTGCCAGCTCTGTGGTTTCAAGGGCGGCTCGCTATTTCACAGGAGGTTCCGCTGTGAGGCGCATGAGGCCTGGAGGCGTGACTATTTGGAGGAGCCGCTGCGTGGAGCTGCTGACCGGGTGGAGGGCTTGGGTTACCCCTTCACCGACCTGTTCGCCAGGGGCCTCTTCCCCGACGTCTCGGAGCTGATGGGCAGGCCAGTTCGGCCAGCAACGGACTACTTCGAGAGTTCGACGAGCTGGTACACCCTGGGACCGCACCTCCACGGACACCATGTTTTTGTGGATGGCTCGGGCCTCGACCAGGCCTACCCGCGCCTGCGCACCGCGGGATGGGCCGTGGTGGTCTATGACGAGGCCTACAGGCTGGCGGCAGAGGCGTGGGGAGCGGTGCCGATTGCGGTAGGCAGAGCAGCTGCAAGACGTGACGGTGGTCAAGGTCAAGGCCCACCTGGGCCCCAAGGCGGTCGCAGATGGCCTCGTCTCGCAGTTCGAGCTGGACGGCAATGCTCGCGCTGACATGCGAGCCAAGCAGGGCGCGGCGTCGGCCAGGGTGAACCTCGATGACATCCTAGTGGTCGAGGGCTGCCAGGCCTTGGCTCGCCAAGCGGCGCGCTTCGCCGCCGCGCACGAGGTGCAGCTGTCGCGCACCAACATGCTCGACTCAATGGGCGTGGTGGCATTGAGGCTGATCGACCTTGGTGAGTGACCACAGTGGCCTGATGAGCTCGAAGGTGAGGCTGAGGGTGACGTAGGTGAGACCGCGGCCAGTGCCTGTGCAGCTGTGGGGAGCACGGCGTCGGGGCCTGACGCTGTGCCCGAGGGACTTCATCCCTGGCGCATCGGCGGGCACGCCCTGCTCGCGGCGCCCATTTTCGTGGATGAAAAGGCGCGCGCAGCCCTGCGGCCCTGCGGCTGCATTCTCTTTTGTACAACGTGCCGTGGGTACGTTTCTAATAAGTGGGGGCGTGGACTCCAGTATAAGTGTCCAGGAGGCCCGATCCCTAGCGCTAAGAAGCATAATTCCGCGTTGAAGCACCTGAAGCACCCCAAAGGGAACAGGCTTCTTGGGAGCTTGCGGTCGCCTTCCGTGGCCGAGATCGATTTTTGGTCTGGGCATTTTCCCCCCGAGCCTCCCGTAGTGGCCCAAACGGGCGGCCTGACGGCTGCTAGCCCTAAGAGGCCCAGCGTCCTGGAAGTCTTGTTGTCTTTCGGGCTTCGGCTGGCTGAGGCCCTGAGTCTTGGGTCCAGAGCCCTGGAGGCCAGGGCAAAGGCCCAGGCCCGCAGGGCCCGCGGTCTGTCGGGCCCCGAGGACCCCCTCGACCTCTCAAGCGTTGCCCCTGGCGCGGCCGTGCCTGCCGTGCCAGGCTGGGGCTGAGTCTGGGAGGCTTGGGTGGTCCCGAGGGTTGAATTCGTTTGCAGGACCCTTCTGGGTCGAGTCTAGCCTCCTCCTCCTTCTCCTCCTCCTCCTCCTCCTCCTCCTCCTCCTCCTCCTCCTCCTCCTCCCCCTCCTCCGTGGAGGTGCGTGTTTTCCCCGGCTGCTCCGTCGGCGACCCCAGACCTCCGTCGCCCTGGGACAGAACCAGGGCAGAGGGCTGTCGAGCAGGGGGATCGACTGCATGCAGTGACGTGCCCCCCAAAAATGTTTGTGTTTTTTTTGTCCGTCGATCCTTACCAGCCTCGGACGTATCCCTATCCCTAAGATTGACACGCCAAAAGGCGATGGCAATCTTAGGGATCCACCCTCAAAAAATAAGGGAATACCTAAGATTGGCATCGTGATGAGGAGATGCCCAGCATAAGGATAGGGATATGCTCCAGGCTGGTAAGATCCCACGGCATGGCACATGCCACGCCCTGCTTTGCAGATCCGACGAGGGATTCCGTGCTGGAGCGAATCGCTTCTGCAGCCGAACCCCTACTCGAGCTGTTCTGGGCGTCTGGGGGCCGTGCTCGGGACCCGCGATCATGTCGGAATGATCCAGGATGGAAAAAAAGGTCCCTGTGAAGCTGTCGACAGGTCCAGGGGACCAACACAGGATCAGCGGTGCCCGCATGCCGTCTCTCAAACGAAGACAGGAAGGCACACTCGGCGCTGGAGAAAGCCCGGAGCCCTGAGAGCCAGCGGGCTGGAAGGCTGTGTACCAGGCGGCCGCGCGCCGTTCCAGAGCGTTCCCGAACTTCCCGAGACCTTCAGGGAACTCTGAGATAGAAAACACAAAACGCATCCTCCCCCTCCTCCTACTCCTCCTCCTCCTCCTCCTCCTCCTCCTCCTCGTCCTCCCATCCTCCATCCTCCCCCTCCCCCTCCTCCTCCTCCTCCTCATCCTCCTCCTCCTCCTCCTCCTCCTCCTCCTCCTCCTCCGGCATAAACATACACCTTTGGCGCTCCGCGCGGATTTCTTCGATCCGGGCTGGACCCCTCTCCCTGGCGCGCGGAGCGCGCCAGGGCTCGCAGCGCAAATCCAAGAAACCCGCGCGGAGCGCAAAACAAATCTATATATATATATATATATATATATATATATATATGGCGTCGTGAACCGCTCGGGACGTCGTAATACATTAAAGCATCAAGAACCGCTCATGAACCGGTTTTGCCTACAGAGTAATTATTCGATGAGAGCGTCGTGAACCGCTCTGGAGAGGTTCTCACTCGATTCTTGCAAGGAAATGCGTTCGCGTGCCTGCACCCCGAAATGAACGCCCGAAAGAACGTTGGCTGCCTGGGCACGTATGCTGGAGGATGTGCCGCAGGGACTGCGTTCTCGCCAAAAAGACTACTTTCTCGCACTCCTCGCTACAACTGAGGAGGAAAGGCCAGCCCCTACTGCGAGGACGCGGCCGCAAGAAGCCCTCGCAAGGAACCCGGCCCTGAAGACCCGCGCGCGAAACGACCAGGGAGTAGCCTTGAGCACCCTGGGCGCAACAAGTTCTGTCACGAGCGCGGGAAGTCACCGCGCAGCGCGCGAAGAGAAGAAACCCAGGGCGCCCTGACAAAAAAACATCCGGTCTCTTGGTGCGCGGTCCCACTGTACAGTCGGCCCGCATCATAAGGATGCGCGACAATGGTGCAAGGGCCCTGGACGTCCACTTCGAAGCTTCTCGAGCGGGGCGCGGCCAATGAAAGCGGCCAAGGATGGACCGAGGAGGCAAGGATACAAGGGATCCCATGGGAAGGTTGACCATCCTCACTGCGCGGGTTGACTGTAACCTCCAAGGAGAAACAAGGACCACCGCCACTCAGAACCAATTGGGGGGGAGGGCGACCCCTGGGCGGGCGTACCCGGGCGTCGTCCTGTGGGGTGACGCTCGGGCGTGTCGTTCCCCTGGGGTCGGCCACCCCCCCCCTGGTGGGTTCTCGGTGGCGGTGGTCTGTCTCTTGTGCAATCGAACTTGCTTGGAGACGACACGGAAAAGGACACGAGACCCTTCCACTGGTCTGCCACGTCGGCGCCTGCGGTGGCGGCCGCGTTCGTCGTCGTCGTCGTCGTCGTTTACGTCGTCGTCGTCGTCGTCTTCGTACAGTCGAGTTAGTTTGGCGAGGGCACGAGACAGGGCACAAGGACCCTTCCGAGGGCCACATTTCCACCCGACTGCAGCAGGCCTGGATCGCTGAACACAGGGCACGATGGGTGCCCTTGACTTGGCGGGGTCGACAGGCTAGCGAAACTCGACTGCATCTTGATACTCGAAGGTGCTGCCCCCTGAAGGAGGAGGAGGAGGGGGAGGAGGAGGAGGAGGAGGAGGAGGAGGAGGAGGAGGAGGAGGAGGAGGGGAAGGAGGAGGAGGAGGAGGAGGAGGAGGAGGAGGAGGAGGGGGGGCGGAGGAGGAGGAGGAGGAGGAGTAGGAGGAGGAGAAGGAGGAGAAGGAGGGGGAGGAGGAGGAGGAGGAGGGAGGAGGCGTCAGGGAGCAGCCGCAACAGCCCCTCCCAGGGCCTTCGAGCCCTGCTGCGTCTTCAGCACGTACTCTACCTCGGATAGGCCCCAGTACAGGCACGCGTCCTCGAGCAGCTCGTGGGCGCACCTGGTGGCGTCCACGCGGTAGCTGAGGTACGATCTGGACTCCGAGTTCTGCGCGAAGACTACCATGACGGTGTCGATGACCTTGTTCTCTTTGGCCTGCTCCTGGGCTGGCAGCAGCTACACACCTACCTCGGACCAGGCCGGGAGCTGTCGAGGCCCCTGGTTGATGCACAATCCAGCGCACGAGAAGAGTAGACCACTCAGCGACAAACCATAACCCTCATCTGGATAATTTAGGTCGCGACTGGCCTGCCCCTGATCCCTGATCGTGCCGTGAGCCTCGTTCCACCAAGATCCCCAAATTAATCGTGGCTCCTCCTCCCCCTCCGTACCTCTTCCACCTCTTCCTGATCCTGCTCCAATCCTGATGAGGCTCCTGCTCCCCTTCTCTTGGCATCCCTCCTGCTCCCCCCCGAACTTCTCGTTCTCCTTTTCTTGCTCATGCTGCTCGTGCGCCTCCTCCGTTTCTACCGAGTCTTGCACGTGCGTATATGCGCATCTGTACACTACGCACAGTGTGCGCAAAACTGCGTATGTGCACCAACCCTGGGCCTGGTCGGGGAAGGCCAAGCTGGGTGCCTCGCCATCGCTCGGACGTCCATTCCCTGTGTTTTTTTCGGTTTCGTGCGCGTTTTTTCGCCAAGTGGTCAAAGATGCTCCTCGATGGTCCTCGCCGAGGAAAAAACGCACACGTCCGAGCGATGCCAGGGTGCTGGCGTGCAGCCGTGCTTCCCCGCCACTCCGCGGGCGGCTTGTCCACCATCAGCTCCATCTCGTCGAAGATCCTGGGAGCAGATCTTCTGTGGCAACCCGCGGGAGCCTCCCATGCCGTCTCATTGATTCTTGCGAGTCGGCGCCGATCGACGCTGGTCGACGACATCCGACGCCAAATAGAAGCCCGCCGACGCTGAGTCGGCGCCCCCTCGTCGTTCACCAGACGCTAGCGCATGCTCGAATCGGCGCCGATCGACGCGAGTCGACGACATCCGACGCTAGATAGAAGCCAGCCGACGCTGAGTCGGCGCCCCCTCGTCGTTGACCGGACGCCAGCGCATGCGAACGTACTCTGAAGACAAAACTGCGAAGACACGCAAGGCTCCCATGGTTCGCTACAGGGCAGGGCCACTCACAACTTCCTCTCACGGCCATCACCTTCGGGCGGGGCGGACGCCTGGAACGCGGTGCGACTTGGACCTCGACGGGGCCCCGAGGCAAGCCCTGGACATCTGTGCCCAAGGCGCTTCTGCCGCCCAAGGTCCGGATGCCGAGCTCGTTCTTCCTCGCCGTCTTCCCCCTCTTTATGGTCTCCTCGAGCTGGGACTCCACCGAGGAACGCACCTGCGATTGCTCTGGCGTCTGGGCAGCTGCTGCAATGAACAGAGATATACGTGGCACTAGCCTGGCACTAACATTGGTGGGACATGTAGCAGTAGTGGTCGTGGCAACTCGTCGAGTACGTGGTGAGTGCAACAAGAAAAAATAGGAATAGGGCAGTGGAATCAGTGGCAGCAGTAGCATTATCAGCTGTTTTTGCATTGCAGCTGCCCTAGTTTCAGAAAGTGGCCCATGCAGGCATTGTGACAGAAAATCAAAAAGTAAAAAACATTGAAGACATGTCGACTCTCCCCGCTCGTCGATGGTGACAAGAGATCCGGTGTATGCGACATCCCGCATCTTCTTGTGTCCCCTCCCTGGGGGTCCAACAATGTCGTTTGGGACGGGACAGGGGGGACGGGAGGAGGCGAGCTCGTCAGCGCACCTCCAAGGACATTAGAAGCCCAGTAATGGCAATTCGGTGCTCCGAAGCCCTCAGCATGAGTTCAATGTAACATTATATAGCCCAATATTTGCTCCGCAATGGACCCAACTTGGACCAAAGATGACTCAAACATAACACTGGTGCTTCCCAAGAAGGCCCCCGAGAGGCCAACAGAATTGTACGACAAACATTTGTTGAACAATTTTGACGGTCGCGTCTTGTAGAATCAGATGGGCCGAGGAAGCCTTGAGATGGCCACTGGGTGACACAAGAGACCCCAAGGGAACGCTTTCTGCCGCACCTTGACTGGCAGAAATTGCCAAACTCGTCCCTTAACGAACCCGGGAGGACCCCCCCCCTCAAAATTCCCCCTCCCCCTTTCTTACAATCCTCCCACCCACCCCCTCGCCCAGTAAACCCCCCCCTCCCCCCAGACCCCCGCCCCCCTCCGATTCCCCCACAAGGGGGGGGGATTCAACCCTCCCCTCCCCGACCTCTCTCCTCGGATTCCACAAGGTAGGGGGGCGGGAAAGGGAGAGTTTCAAAACCCTTTTCCCCCCCGACCCACCCACACGCCGCCAGCAAATGACAAAAGCGAGCGTCGAAGCCAAACGACGGCGACGACGACGAGCGATGGCGCCGAACGACAGGTTTGAACCAGCCCGCCCCACCCTTCTGTGGAATGCAAATGCACTGCAACTACAATGCAAATGCAACGCAGTGAAAAGTAATGCAACGCAACAGGATGCAATGCAACGCAACGCAACACAACGCGACGCAGTACAATGCAATGCAACGCTACGCAATGCAGCAAAATGCAATGCAACGTGATGCACTGCAATGAAATGCACTGAAATGCAATGCGCTGCAATGCACTGCAATGCAATGCACTGCAATGCAATGTGTATCTCGTCGCGTGTCATCGCCGCGGGGCCGAAAAACATACTTTCCGCTCCACTCGCCACGTGGCAACGCCTTGGCGGGCGACAAAATACTATTCCGCTCTACCCGTCACATTGCAGCGCCGCGGGGGCTGAAAAATACACTCAGTTCGCCACGCGGCACCGCCTGGGGGGGGCGAACAAAAACAGACTATTCCACAACACTCGTCACGTGGCAATGCCGCTTGGGGCCGAACAAATACCCACTCCACTTGCCACGTGGCAACCTGGAGGCGCGAAGAAAAAATGTTCCATACACTTTACTTGTCACGTGGCAGCGCCGCGGGGGCAGAAACAACAAACTATTCCACTTCATTCGTCACGTGGCAACGCCGCGGGGGCCGAAAAGGATACTATGCCGCTCCACTCGCCACGTGGCAACGCCTGTAGGCGCGAAGAAATATGATTCCATCTTAGTCGTCACGGGGCAGCGCCGCGGGAGCCGAAACAAACATTATGCCACGAGGATGACGACGATGACGACGAAGAGAACGACGACGACGATGATCATAACGCCGACGCTGACGAGGGCCAGGAAGGCGAACCACAACTCTATCCTATCCTCCTCCTCGTCCTTCTCCCTCCCTCTTTCCTCCTTCCTCCTGCATCCTCCCTCACCCTTCCTTCCTCCCCCATCCTCACTCAATCCCATCCCCTCCTCCCCCCCTCCCCCTTGGCGGCGCGCACAAGAGGGTAGCCGGAGGGGGGAAGGCTCCTTGGAAGGAGGCTGTTTCTTAGAAGGCACGGTCTTTACATCCATAGCATAGACAAGGCCCGCGCCTTCTAAGAAGCAGGGGTGCTTCTAAGAAGCCCTCCCCCCTCCACCTTAGCCCCTCTGCGCTGGGCCAACCTCCCTCCTCACTCCTCCTTCTTCCTCCTCTCCTCTCTACCTTCCTCCCTCCTCCTCCCTCCTGTCCTCCCCCTCGCCTGCGATTTACTACAATGCAGTATATTGCACATGTAATGCACATGCAACGCAGTGCAATGCAATGCATGCAACGCAGCAGGATCGTTGGTTTTCTGGTTGGTTGGCTGGTGACTGGTCGGTGGGTAGGTAGGCGGGTCGGTTGGCTGGTTCATTGGTCGGCTGCCACGTGGCAACGCCACTCTACTCACTACGTGGCAACGCTTCGGGGCCCGGAACCAAAAATTACGCTACCGAGGAACCCCACATACTTATTTTATGTCACGTGTGTTCACAAACCATATCACATCCCGCTTCGCCATCCTGACGAGCCAGACTGACCAGACCAGCCAGATCAGCCAGACCAGCAAGACTGACCAGACCAGTCGGATCAGTCGTTCCAGCCATAACCAGCCAAAGTAATCAGACCAGCCAGCCACGCCTGCTGTGCCTGGACGACCGTCGTGCATAGCGGCCGCGGTGAGAGACCACCCTGTGGTGTCGAGAAAGTGCCACGCCTGCTGTGCCTGGGCGACCGTCGTGCATAGCGGCCGCGGTGAGACACCACCCCCTGCGCACGCCCTGTGGTGTCGAGAAAGTGCCACGCCTGCTGTGCCCGGACGACCGTCGTGCATAGCGGCCGCGGTGAGAGACCACCCCCTGCGCACCCCCTATGGTGTCGAGAATGTGCCACGCCTGTTGTGCCTGGACGACCGTCGTGCATAGCGGCCGCGGTGAGAGACCACCCCCTGCGCACCCCCTGTTGGTGTCGAGAAGTGCCGTCGTGGCAAAGCGGGCCGCGGTGAGAGACCCCCCCTGCGCACCCCCTGTGGTGCCGAGAAAGTGCCACGCCTGCTGTGCCTGGACGACCGTCGTGCATAGCGGACGCGGTGGGAGACCACCCCCTGCGCAGCCCCTGTGGTTTCCGAGAATGTGCCCAGGAACGCCTGCTGTGCCGAGACGACCGTCGTGCATAGCGGACAGCGGTGAGATACCATCCGCCTGCACAGCCCGCTTGAAGTCGGAGAAATTCCACGCGCTGCTGTGCCTGTACGAACCGGTCGTGCATAGCTGCCGCGGTGGGAAACCACCCCCTGCGGACCCCCCTGTGTGTCGAAGAATATGTTTCCACGCCTGCTGTGCCTGGACGACTGTCGTGCATAGCGGCCGCGGTGAGAGACCACACCCTGCGCACCCCCTGTAGTGTCGAGAAAATGCCACGCCTGCTGTGCCTGGACGACCGTCGTGCATAGCGGCCGCGGTGAGAGACCACCCCCTGCGCACCCCCTGTGGTGTCGAGAAGGTGCCACGCCTGCTGCGCCTGGACGACCGTCGTGCGTAGCGGACGCGGTGAAAAAAAATCACCCCCTGGCGCACCCCCTGTGGTGTCGATAAAGTGCAACGCCTGCTGTGCCCTTCCGAACCGTCGTGCATAGCGGCCGCGTGATAGGGGAGTGAAAGAGGGGGTTAAGAAGAGTAAACCCCCCCCTGCGCACGCCCCTGTGGTGTCGGAGAAAGTGCCACGCCTGCTGTGCCTGGACGACCGTCGTGCATAGCGGCCGCGGTGAGATACCACCCCCTGCGCACCCCCTGTGGTGTCGAGAAAGTGCCACGCCTGCTGTGCCTGGACGACCGTCGTGCATAGCGGCCGCGGTGAGAGACCCCCCCCTGCGCACCCCCTGTGGCGTCGAGAATGTGCCACGCCTGCTGTGCCTGGACGACCGTCGTGCATAGCGGCCGCGGTGAGGCCCCGAAATCTGCGCACAGCCCTGTGGTTTCCGGCATGTTGCCTGCCGCCTGCTGTGCCTGTAACGAATCGTCCGTGCATAGCGGCCGCGGTGAGAGACCAACCCCCTGCTCACCCCTTGTGGTGTCGAGAAAGTGCCACGCCTGCTATGCCTGGAAACGACCGTTCGTGTATAGCGCCGCGGTGAGATACCCCCCCCTGCGCACGTCCCGATTGGGTGTCGAGAATGTGCCAAGCCTGCTGTGCCTGGACGACCGTCGTCATAGCGGCCGAGTGGGATACCACCCCCTGCGGACCCCCCTGTGGTGTCGAAGAAGGTGCCACGCTGCTGTGCCTGACGACCGTCGTGCATAGCGCCGCGTAGAGACCACCCGTGCCCCTGCGCTACTAACCTGTGGTGTCGGTAAAGTGCCACGCCTGCCACGCTCTCCGACACTGGCACGCATGGGGGCCGCGCTGAAAGGCGACCCCCTGCGCACCCCCCCAGGTGTCGAGAAAGTGCTACGCCTGCCACGTTCTCCGACCGACCCCGTCACGCAAAGGGGCCGCGGTGAAAGACCCCCCCTGCGCACTCCCCCCTGTGGTTCGAGAAAGTGCCACGCCCCCTGTGGCGTCTCGAGGAAGTGCCCGCCTGCTGTGCCTGGACGACCCGTCGTGCATATCGGCCGCGGTGATAGACCACTCACCCCTGCGTAATCCCTGCCCCTTCTGCGCACGTCTGGGTAAGGGTCTGAGTAGAAGCAAGTGTGGGAACCCTCTGTGGTGCCGAGTAAGTTGCCAGCCTGCTGTCCCTGGGCGACCCGTCGTGCATAGCGGCCGCGTGAGACCACGCGCCCCTGCGCACCCCCTGTGGTGTCGAGAATGTGCAACGCCTAGTGTGCCTGACGACCGCCGGTGCATTAGCGGCCGCGTGATAGGACCACCCCCTCGCACTCCCCTGGTTGTGGTCGAGAAAGTGCCACGCCTGCTGTGCCTGGACGACCGTCG